AAAAAAATTTTATTTTTTCAGAAGAATGTATAATTAATAAGCATGAAATTTTTTTATTTACGTATAAAATTATTTTATTAAAAAATATGTGATTGAAAATAAATTTTTTTAAAATTGAACTCAAACATGAGCTGAATAATATTATTCAATAATAAAAGGGATAATTTAAATTGCTGTAGTCTTCTCTTTAAGAAAGCATTAGTCCTACGATAATATTTATACAGAAATCCAAGCTCGAAGGGCCATATGTTACCTCTTAAATTCCATTTTCAGAATTGCTAATTTTTTTTAATGGATTATATTATTCATAGTTGTTCAGAAGAACACACACTAATAGAATTCAAACTCATGAACTACACTGTGATGTATAGGAACTACTATAAGTGCTCAGTTGAAGGATGTCCAGTAAAGAAGAGAGTTGAAAGAGACACTGAAGACCCAAGGTATGTGTTAACAACTTACCATGGCATCCACAACCACCGAGACCTTCTCAGCTATGATTTCGAAACCAATCTTAGAAATTAATTTTCTTATATTGTGTAACTCTAGTTGTACAAGAAATATTGCTGATAGAGTCAGCATCTATGATTTTAACATATTTGGTATGCAGTATTGGGTAGAAGTCGATGATATAATGAACTAGAATTTGGCCTTTTCTTCTGAGTACTAAAGGACGTCTTGGTTTCTGCTTCATTACAAAAACTTCTTGAAGAAGTTAACTTAGATCAATTTCCTCTAAAATCTTTTCTAGCCAAACATAGCAGTTTCAGAATATCATCTAAATATGCTCAAAAGCAATTTCTTAATCTCAAAAATTGGCTTTTGGCTTTTAAAAGCGTGCCAGCGAACCCTAAGTCCTATCCAAGTATAACCACCAAACATGGCATGTAATCAAGAACGTTCCATCAAATTATGCAATCACAGGTACAAATGTAAAAAATGTTCATCATCTGATCTACTCCACAAATTATCATTGCATTATTCAACGTCTAATGCTATTTCATTCAATGTAAAGGCATCACGTAGTAGAAATAACAGAATGAGACATACCTCACAGAACAGTTCGATCGGGAGGCATGATAAGCAATTCAAGTGACTATAATACCCCTGATTCTCGGAGGACCGAGGACCACTTCCCGAGGCACCTATTCCTACTTCAGATAGCTACGATTTACATTGGAAGAAATCCAAAAGATTTGCCAGAGATGCCCAGAGAAACTTCCACTTTAATGAAGCTGTAACCCGTGTTGAAAATGGAAGGGCTATACTGAAACGAAAGAAAAATACAACCTACGATAGTATATAAAGCATGAGATCGAGAAATAGTCCTCTGTCAGGTCCTCCGCTTAATCTTTCTTTGAGCTTTCAAATCGACCACAACTACGCTAATGTTATCCTTGCTGCCTTTTTGAAGAGCACGGTTAGACAGGTACTCAGCAGCAGCTTGAGCTGCTGGATCAGTTCCTTCACCCCTTTCTAAGGGAAGTGTTGCCCCATTATTTTTATGCCAGACGAGAATCCTTTTGCGAGCCATATCACAAGCCTCCTCGTTCGTCATGACATCCCATAAGCCATCACTAGCCAGAATAAGACAGTCATCTTCTCTAGTTCGAGGGATGAACATTACTTCAGGATCCGGAATAATCCAAGGTTTCAAATATCTGTCTCCTGCAACATCGAAGAACGATAATGCTTAATAAAATTCAATTTACTATCAAAATACAGAAATTAGCTTTGATTAAGTTGCATATATTATATTAGTAATGAGTTTCAACTACAATTACACCAGACAAGCATAAAATTAATTGCGAGGCAAAATATATAGACTTCTGCATTGGGCGGTTTAGTTTATCAATTAGCAATACCCATTAAGCATGGTGACTTTATAGATGGCAAATTTTCCAAAATGGCCTTCTCAAAATAAGAATCGTAACTCGTAAGAAATAGCCGTACTCGCTAGTTTTTTATCTTCTTCTTCTTTTTTTTTTTTTTTGGGTGAGCAAAAAGGCCTTGTTTCTGTGGGGGGAAAAAGTTTCAAATATTCTTACGGTAAAAAGGCTGCATTCTTTAAACTAGTGAAACCGACACCAACCCAATAATAAACCCCATTTTATCTCTATTGTCTTGTTAGCTGCAAATCTGTACCTTTTGCAATTCTTGCCTTGTTACTTGTTGGACAGATTCTTTGATATATCATCTTCACAAAGAGGATCATGAACTTCTTGCCTAACATGAAAAATGTTCTTAACATGAGAGGGGGGAGCCAATGCAGGGCAGGAGGGGGAGGACACTAAGGATGGGTTGGGCCTAGGAGGAGAGGAAGAAGAAAGGGCAGTTCCGGACTATTATAAAATATGAGGTTAGTTATAAGGAGTTTGTACAAGCAATGTGCCTTCTCCAGAATGTACCTTCAAATTTGGCCATTCTAGGCAAAAAAAAATTATATCAAGATCACCTACAGATTACTGTGGCATGCACTCTGACTCCATAATTCTCCAATCAGGTTAAGGCAAGAAGGCTAAAAAGCCCTAGCCTTAGCTTTATTTGGCTTCCACCACACCCACCTAACCAAAAAAAAAGGGTCTCCATAATCCTAACAAGGTATTTAGCGTCTTTCCTGTCTTTGACCAAAGAAACCAGAATATCTCTAAATGGCAGAATTTTCCAAGTGCTGTTCAATATGGAACACAAGATGTCTACTACTTGATTCTAGCAAGGCTCCAATTAGAATGACTATTTGCATAAAAGATAGTGAAGGAGTGCTCAATAGTATGCTTCTTAATATATGGCATAAAAAGGAAGAATGGGAAGAAAAAGCATTTTCACGAGTCTCTATGTACAAGAAGTACGAGGAAGCTCAATAAATTTTGTGCACTGAACTCACTAATTAAAAGCAAATGGATGGTAAATAAAATGAAGCAGCCACCACTCTTTAACAGTCCAACCAATTAAGGACAAGGCACAACAATTCAGACCTTTCCTTTCAAATGCGAAAAAAAAGTACAAGAAGGCTTTCGTTTCTCAAGGTCACTGCAATTTCAAAAGGTTAACTATAGACAATCTAAATCGATGCTTAACATCTTAGTTACTCGGTCCTAGTATACTTTTGGCTCATCTATACCATTACTTAGAATAACAAATCCAATCCCTAGAGGAGACTTGTTTCACTTTATGATTATATCAACTTGGAATTAGAGTTCCCGAAACATCTTTAGACATCCGGGACAAACAGTCATGTCAGTCAAACAAATTATTATATTAATCGCCCCCGAGCCATGCAAAGTAACACATCAAGTTTATGAGCACCTACTTCACGAGTAATAGGGTGCTATGGTAGTGTATATTCTGGTAATGAACATGACGATTTAAATACCAAAGGATATCTTATTTTTAAACAGAGATGATACATATATTTATGAAATCCACAAAGGAATAATACAATGAGAATGACGAACTTTTAAGGTGGTATGTCAAACTAAAGAGGCAAAATGCAAAAGAAAGGGAAAATGAAGGCTTTGAAGCACATACCAATAGACCTTGACATTGCAAGGACCCCAAAAACACGATGTCCATTCCACTGAATTACTTTTCCGCCAGCTGCTTCAATTCTGGCATATTCATCTTCTCGATTTGGCTAATAGATGCAAGGGAATGAAATTAGCTAGAGCTGGATAAAGACAGAACAACACACTAGGCACAATGGACAATTTTTTGTTTATTTTCTTTAATATTGCTGAAGACTGTCTAATCCAGCATAGCAAACACCTTATTATGTCATCTTTAGTAAGTTGGATTGAATAGAATAAAACAATATTAAAGAAGATAGACAATTCAAAATTTAGTAATTGTTGTGTGCTGCTGAATCCAAACTACCAATTACCATACATGTCACGACACAATACAAATTAAAATTACATTCTTACTTTAAGATCCACAGATAGCACCATGGGTTCTTTACCTACGTGGCTATGCTACTACCAATTACCAAACGTGCCATGATTATAGAGATTGAAATTACATTCTTACTTTATGATCCACAGATAGCGCCATGGGCTCTTTACCACGGCATAGGACAGCCCTTGAATCGCCACAATTAGCAACAATGATGTGTGACGAACAAACTATGGCAACAACAGCAGTTGATCCTACAGTTTCTGGAGCAACAGGTTCAAGGCTAGCTTTCCCTCCGATCTCATCATCAACCTTGAGAAAACATTCAGTTAATGCTCTTCTCCATTGTTCTTCACAACTGTCCTTGCTATTTCCATCATTTAGATTGGCCATAATAACTTCCAACTCCTCAGCCAAAGAAGAATGAATGCGATCCCGACAATAATTTGCAACCTGAACATAAAATTTTAAGCAATAAATCTCAGACAACCGTTTTACATCATGCAGCTTTGGGTAAGCTAAAAGGGCTACTTTTAAGTAACTTTTTTCGCCAAGCATGTTGGTTTAAGTTACATTTTGTTCAAAAAAAATTCAGTACAAAATCTTACTTGTTTTTAGGGTGACTTAGTTAATTTTTTTAGCTTGCTAAACATGTTGGTGGTATTGCAGCAGGGTGTGTGTTAGAAGAGAGGTACCTGAGAGCCTCCATGACCATCATAGACTCCAAAAAAGTGGGTCGTCAAATGACTTAACGGCTGAGTCATTCCATCATGTACATGGTCACCAATTAACATTTGCAGAGGAACTTTCAGAAACCTGGGCACAGTCGCAACTGCATCTTCCATTTCTGGTCTTCGACCACAAATAGACGTGAGTCCCCAGAGCGGTACATAATCAACCTCAAAAACACTGTGGCTCACTCTTCCACTTAACCCTTTATCCAACTGAGCAACAACTGTAGAAGACTTTGAGTTTGCACCATCTACAATATTTTCCCCTTCATCTACCACCAAAGATAGAGAATCAACCACAATCCCACTAACAATTCGCTCTCCCAAATCTCTGGTTTTTGCAATAGGTTCAATATCTACGAAATTTGGTATTCCTGTTTCAGGATTGATCTCAAAACCCAATAGTTCATCTCCACATATGCTACTAGTATCACTCACCACAGACAAAGAACATGAGCTATCAAGAACTTGATCGCCCTCCAATGATGAGGAACCATCCTCTTCCCTTTTCCCGACTACAACATCAGTTGCAAGCCAGTTGTTTTCATCTTCAGACATGATTACCAACCTGGAAGCCCCTTCACTCCGATTATCTTCAGGCCCTGAGATCCCCATAAAATTACTAACTTCACTTCCTGAATCAATGGATGCTTTAAATAGAAATGAGTAGTCAGATCTGATGACTAAAAATAAAACACCAACTACCACTTCCACAAAAATTTCTCCATATATAGAAAGGTGAAACTGATTTGTTTGAACCTTATCTTAATTTCTTATTCTCTGGATACTTCTGTATCTACCTCCATCAATTACTATGAAAAAAAAATCCAGAAGATCCTTCAAATCCACCCAATTTACTCAAACAACACAGAAAAAGCAAAACAAGAAATCGATCTGAGCGCTTTATCGTTAAAGAACAGAAGGGTTCATGTGAAAGAACATAGGAAAGGCAAGAAAAGTTTCATGAATCACAGGGAATATTGAAAAAGATAGAACCCTTTTTGGAAGTAAAAATCGAGTAACCTGGATCTGAGGCAATCCATGTCAACCCTTCTTGAAATCTTGAGTTGAGCCCATCTTTTTGTACTGTAACTCTCTCTTTCAACCAATAAATTAGTTAACTCGTTCAGTATGAAGTCAAGAAACAGTAATACTAATAATTAATAATTATACGAAAGCAAAAGACGTTTAAAAGAGTAACTACAACTGCAACCTAATTATTTTTTTCTTTCTCCCTCAGACTTCATCACACTTCAGACTCAGCTTCACTTTTTCAACATCTGTTGGAAACAGAGGGAAATTACTGAAGAAAGAAGAAAAACAAATAAAGGAACATTTTGTAAATATTAAAAACAGCATCTTTGGATGGGCACAAGTAACTTTTCTTCATGATATACTTTTTAAGTAAAAGGAACTTATTTTTATCTTCATTATTAAAAATTTATTTGTTTTCCTGATTACATCCACGGGCAAGAAAGAGGACAGATAGATTAACTTTTAGCTTTGCCTATAATTTTTTTACTTAGAACCAAGCTTAGACATACACAGAGACGTCGCTTTCCAAGATAAATATTTTTGCCCGAATCTTGGAAGATAAACAAAGTGAGTGGAGAGGATATGGTGATATAAATGGTGCAATCTATTTATTAAAGAAGTTATGAAAGCAATCTTGATTTAAAAAATTATTCTTCACTCTCTACGCCGTTAAAATTAAAGCTTTCATTTTCTTGTTCTTTATTTCTGCCTTCTTACTCTTATTTGTTTATTTCTCGAACGTCTTTTTCACTTTTTTCTATTATTATGTCGTGTCATTTTCCTATTGAGTGGACATTTAAAAGAAGTTTCCAAAGAGAGGTCAATAAAAAATTATATAAAACAATATATTATGTGATAAAATTACTATAATGTTACCCCATTATAAATAAAATTTATTGTTAGAGTAACAAGTTGATCTCTAATATTATTAAAAAAAGAAAAGTTAATTCTCAGCTTTTTATTATAACTGTGATGTGAAATTAGGGATAACAATTCGAACTGTCAAAATCAAAAGTCACGGTTGATCGAATTTAATGGGGCGAAAAAATCGAACCGATGGCGGAATGAGATGGATATGGTACTTGATTTTAATGGATTTGATATTTACGCCATTGCTCCGCCCCGTACCGATTACTCATTAAAAAAAATAAAGAACAAGTGAGCTTTCCATTATTTTTTCTATGATTTTGTCCAGCCCAAAATTCTGGTCCATTACTATAATTTAGTTCACTAACCTTACATCCTACTACACAAATATTAAGCATTTATGAAAATTATTTGTTAAATTCGAATTTTGCAATTGAAAATTGAGGAATACTTCTGCTCCAAGGGCCAAATTCGTCCAGAATGAGCTACTAAAAGATATTTGTAGAGGCATCATATCCAAAGCTTTGAAATATTTCATAGATTTGACATTATGTGCGCATAGATTTCTCTTTTTTGAATTAATTATTGACCATAGACTCTCCATTTTGATCCCAACTCAATCTATCTTATTATTTTTATAGTTGAACAGCATGCAATCAAATTTTATGGTTCTCTTTCAATAAATCGTGCGTCGTGCACGTTAGTGACTTATTTACTAATTTGGTGAAAAAAGGGTTACTTATAAGATAAACCAACTGTAATATAGAATTTCAGTGAACTTCTAAGGCAAATAAATCCCAAAGAAAAAGCAGCAAAGAGAAATTGAAAAGTTAGAAATCTGTTATCCCACATTTATCTCATGAATGCCAGCTGCTTCTTGCCCAACGTCATCCTTGTTGGTTCAGAAGTTGCATTTTCAAGGGCAAAAGAAAGAGAAACAATCGACATAGGCTTTAGAATAGCTGCATCACCAGGAAGCATGCTATCTGTAATGACCCAAATTTTGAATATTTAAATCGTTAACAAAAGTTTCATTTAAACAATTAAATAACATAACATGCAGTATGCATAAAATTATGTAACGGTAATTTACTCAAATTCATGTAGAAAATTTTATATATTCATTTATAAAAAGGCAAGAACAAAGATTTTCCTATGCCATATCTTACTCATATTGTAACTAAATAAATAAATCAAACATCACCACATGAAATTTTTGGTTCCATAAATATTAAATAAAACATAACCAATTAAAACATGTTCTAAACCCTAAATAACAAAATTCCACATAATAATAAAACTAAAATAAGAGATGAAAATAAGAGATTTAGTATATCGATATTAGACTCTTTTTGAAACTTGTAATTAATTAGAAAGTCTTTGACTTAGAAAAAAATTAACTCAGATAAGCTACGCCAAAGATATTGAAGTCCAAAGAAATTACATTTAATTAGTACTTCTAATCCTTATTTTTTGTGATAATGTTAAATTAATCCTTTTGCAAGCTATTTACACGTGATTGTTAGGAAATCATTAGTTGAACACAATTCTTTTTCCATAAAATACAACCATTCCTACATAAAGTCTACTTTTTTTATACCAACTTTAATTCAATTTCTAGCAATACATGATTCCCTACTTTTCACACAACTCTATATAGGCTACGTCATGATTACCTATATATAGGATATGATGGTAGAACTTACATAACAACGGAGAGAGTTAATGTAGATAGAGGAAGAGCATAGAAAAAGGGTTTTCACGTACATTATTTTACGTTCCTTCACAACTTTTCAAATTTATCAAGATACTTTTGTGCAAGTGATTCATTCTCATATGCTTTTATATTTAATTAAATATGCATGAATTGCCAGTAGATCTTTGGGTTCTTTAGAGAAAAATATGAAATCCTATTGGAATTTAAGATGACCTAATATGGGTGCGTCGCTCGATCACCGATATATTCCATAAGAGAAGAGTGGTATGAATTGTTTATTTTATTATTATATAATTGTGTGTGGAAATTACATGTATTTGAGTATTTTTAAATATTCACTTTTACAATAATTTTATGGGTTACTACGACTTGATTGGATTTGAGGTTGGATAGTGATGCGGGCGGCCAAGTGGATCGAAAGAAAAATAAACGCTAAGTTTTTCTGTCGTTTAGTTTCCATGTTTTCGTCTAAATATTATAGATATTCCATTTATTTTAAATAAAAAAAATATTTTATCATTCCACATTTAATGTAAAGAAAAGTGAGTTTTTTTATTTTTATTGGTAACACTCCAAGATTCATGAAAGTTTGGGGTGTTACAATGAATGTTTTTACTTATCTCAACGTATCTTGGTTGAAGATATTTTTGTACAAACTTTGTGAAATGTTGGTTGTCCACTATGCTTAGCGGCAAATCAACATCAACAACAAACTTTACCATTCCTTCTTGACAATTTTCTTCCGAGTATATCCATTTGCTTAGTGTAGTAGAATTAGTATTAGGAGAAGGAGTACCAAAGTGAAGTTGTGTTTTTGTTAGGCCAATAAGACCATATTTGACCGAACATTTCTTGTAGTGACGATTTAGGTGGGTAGTTTTAATTTCCTTTTGTCATGCCAATTTTGTTTGAAAGTATTTACAAACTGCTTTAGATTCGTGTATATCATCAACTGTACGACCCGTAAAAACAATTTTGAAGTGTTCCCAACACTATACAATTTGTTTAAATTTTCACTCCCTCTTGTATTAGTATTTCGAGTTATGCTTCTTCATCAATGTCATCCAAATCAATTGGATGACTACTACCATGCACATCGTTGACATCTAAATCATCAAGAATGAAATATTGTCGAGATCGAAAAAGTCATTATGAAATTCAGATCATAGTGTCAATGGTGAGTTACCACCAAATAAACCCTCAACGTAAGAATTGGAATCCATTTTCGCAAAATGAAACTGGAATGCATACATATGAAATAGAAGTATAGAATATAGTAGATGAATTATAAAAATGAGATGAAGTGAGAAAATATAAAGAATGAGAAATATAATAGATGAATTAAATAGATTGATGATTGAAAATTGTAATAAGGAATTGAATTGAATATGAGTTATTTAGATTGTAAAATGTTGAAGATTAATTATAAAGAATTGGTGTGAAAATGGGTTGAAATGGGAAGTATTTATAGATTTTGGAAAAAATAAATAAATTAATATATAAATTATTGTAACCGTTGGGGTACATACAAAAGGGAAGTGACCATTGGCAAATGATATCCTCTTCAAAAAGTGACCAAACAAAAAAGTGATTGTTTGGTCAATATTTAATGACGAGCCCACAAGGTCAGCTTGCCATTTCAATTCCAAGGTCGACTCATGCTCGGACTCATCTGAGCGACCCATGGGTCGATCTCCGATGAGCTGCTCAGCTCAATTGTCATCCTTAACCCAACGCTGATGTCTTCCCTGCGTACTTTGACAAAGGCTTCTAGAAGACTTGATAAGGGTTTTGAACCAAGAATTCCCCCTGTTACCTTGTCAAGCTCTTTACTCAGACCATGGAGAAAATCAAATACTGTTTCTACTTCAATATCTGTTGGATCTGGCTTATTTGTAAGCGATCAAGATGATTGTTTGTGAATGGAAAGTTCAACTCGCAGGAGCGTAGTTAAACCACAATTTTATGAAGTAGAAGTATATTACAAAACCACAAAACCAAGATGAAATAAGGAGTAGAAAAGGAA